GTATATAAAGTATAGTTTTTTTTTTCAAACACAACTTTATTTCAGTAAAAAGCGGACAGTTTCTTTAATCGCTTTTATTTTAATTACAACTCACTGTCTCCAGTTCATCCAGAGCTTCAGTCTCTCCTGTGGTGCTGCTGAAGCTGCTGGTGCTGGATGAAGAYCGAGAGATGTTCGGCCTGCAGCTGCTGCTGCTGCACTCCTTCGTCTTCACAAAGGGCCTGATGGTGAAAAACACAGCAGAACAAACAAATGAAGGACAAAATAAAAACATTTTATTTTTCTCTTAAAGCAGTTACAAAAGACTAAATGAGTTTCAAAAGACCCTGACGCACCTCTCCTTGTTGGGGCAGATCTCAGGTGAGCTGGGATTGGACGACGTCTCGGACCTCACTTCCTGGGAGTGGAAACAAGTTTCTCCTATCTTTTGGTCGCCGCTTAGAAAAGTGAAAGAAAATGAAACTATAAATCCCAGAGGCCCACTAMAAACCCCTCAGTGTAACACAATCATGGCACCAACCTTGAAGTACACAGGCTTTAGAAACTAACAGGACCAACCTGCGTGTGTGTTTGTCTGATGGGGTTTCTGTGCTGGAGTGGAGACGAGGGAAGAGGCCGGAGCGCCGCTTCACTGGACTCTTCAGAGGAGACTTGGCTGAGAGAGCAGGAGGCTGAAGATTATAAATTAAAGAATTAAAAGAATTTTTAATTAATAACATCGAGAAAAAAACACCAAGTCTTCCAAGAAGGTTTATAGTGTAGGTCAAATWWTKTTATTTTACATGATGCAGTGTTTCCCCTTCCATTATTGGAGCATTTTAGTTGAATAACCCCACTTAAGAGTGATWGTTCAAATCTTTTAAAGTGAGTTTTTGTGAAAAAGTTTATCAACATTTCTAAATTACCTGTTACAGATCACTGATTGRTGAGGTAACCAAAGTGAACTGCTTTCTCGAAACAACTTTAGTCTCAAACATTTCATGGCGGTTCTTGAAAAAGTTATTTAACAAACATTCTCACTGCAGTTATTTACACACATTTCTTTTTGTAAGCACACCTAGCAGCATCAGCAGCTAGCTTTAGCCCTTCTGGTTTGCAGAAATAATTGTGCAACTCAAAACAGATGGAAGTTAAGGTTTACAAAATAATTTTCGCATAAAATACTACTGGAGCTATTTAAAATGGTATGTAACCTTAAAAAGCCATCTACAGCAGATAAGATATTAACTGTTTATAACTTAACTTTTTATTTCAACAGGGTTCCTACAGTTTAAAGCAAGTTAAATTTATGACTTTAAGAC